GAGAGAGGCGATAGATTGTAAGAAAGAGGGCAAGTGAGGGACAGAGAGAGCAGGGGAGAAAGAAGAGAGAGGGAAATGGAAAGAGAAACAGAGAGAGAGAGAGAAGGAGAGAGAGAGAGAGAGAGAGAGAAACAGAGAGAGAGAATGAGAGAGAGAGAGGAACAGAGAGAGAGAAGGAGAGAGAGAGCGAGAGAGAAACAGAGAGAGAGAATGAGAGAGAGAGAGGAACAGAGAGAGAGAAGGAGAGAGAGAGAGCGAGAGAGAGAAACAGAGAGAGAGAATGAGAGAGGGGAGGCAGAGAGAAAAGGAGTGAGAGAGAGAGAGGGGAGAGAGAGGAACAGAGAGAGAAGGAGAGAGAGAAAGAGAGAGAGAAAGAGAGAGAGAGAGAGGAGAGAGAGAGAGAACGAAATAGAGAATGAGAGGAACAGAGAGAGAGAGAGAGAGGAACAGGGAGAGAAGGAGAGAGTGAGAGAGAGAAAGAGAGAGAGAGGAACAGAGAGAGAGAGAGAGAGCGTGGGGGAGAGAGAGAGAGAGAAAGAGTGAGCAAGACATGAGGAAAAAAGAAAGAGAGACAAGAGAGAGAAAGAAAGAGAGAGAGAGAGGAAAAAGGAGGAGAGTTGTGGGAATTATGTCAGACTGAAATGAAGTTATTCGACAAGAACATGTCGACATGACAGACTAACTGTGTGAAAGGGCGAGAGAGAGAGAGAGAGAGAGAGAGAGAGGGCAGGGTGCGGGGGTGTGTGGGGGTCTTTCGGGAACCGTTGGCTCTCCACCCTCATGCGAAGCCTCGCTGTGCCTGGCAGGTAGGAGAGACTTCAGGACAAACAGGTGTTCAGTGTTTACCTGAGGGCCACTGCGGGGTTTTTCACAGCTTTGTCCTCTAAATGAGAGGCTGACAGACACAGCTGACCTGCATTCAGAGAACAGAGGCCTTAGTTCATCTTTCATCCCACACCCAGTAAACACGTTAAAGCAGGGCCGCAATATTAATATTAATCATTTTTATTTGTACTTTATTATTATTCTTCAGTAAACTCTTATCACGCCATCCATTCATCATATTTGGGTTCTTCTCAGTTAAAGGGCCCATAAACTTTATTTTCTTGTATTTTATTTTTTTTCCTCTGAAGTCTATTTATAATATTTGTGTGGTTTATGAACCAAAACAGTTCAATTTATTTGTACATGATCATTTTCCAACCTCTTGTTATCCCTTAAATGGCCCAAAAAATGAACTCTTTTAAAGGGCCCACACCACTGAAAACTGAATATCCCTCACTTTCTTGAAATAAGAGTTTGATGAAGTATTTAAACATTTATTACTTTTCACTCCAAGTCCTATATATATGTGGAAAATAAGCTGAAAAACAGCCCATCTTTAAGACATATATATGAAAATGAGCTTAATGAGCTCTATTCTGATTGTCTGACCTCATTTAAAAAGCAGCTTAAAAACTAAAACACTCCTTATAACTTCAATGTGAATGGGTGGGGTTGGTTTTGTGACATCACAAACTGCAATTTATTCAATTTAGAAATAATTAATTAATTATCTTCCCCCAGGGTAGTTGGTGAGCATCTAGGTTTTTCCAGTAAGATGGATCAGCATGAGGAATGAGGTTAATGTAACAATCATTCTGGAGTATTTGTATTGGTCATCATAAAAGCAGCATCTCCTGTTGTCTCTTAGGTTGGCTTCTATGCAGCATTAGCTGCTTGAAATTCAACTTGTTTGAAACACAGCCATGTTTCAACTATGTGAAACAAGGTTCCTGAAACAGCCAATCAAAATGCATCATGTGATCATAACAAATTAAATAATTTTAACAGGCTGATTTTAATCTGCACATCATGGAGAAGAATGGTCTCCTGGATGTTGATTATTTACTAGTAACCAGCCAGATTAACTAGCTAGTAAGCAAACCTGCTTAACACCCTACTAGCTAGTTAGTTAGCTGGCTAGCAATAACACTGTAGCATCACATTAACTAGCTAGTTAATCAGAGCCGGTTTATGAGGAGCCTGGCCTCTTCTTATTTCCCTCGTTATATCAAAAACAGACAGCGCCCGCAAGTGAGTCCTCAATGAATGGGAGTAAATGGAGCTCAACAGCTAAAAACGAAAAGTTTCTAATCACTCGCCCAGAACTTTCCTTTAATTTTAGAAAGTAGAAGGATGTAAAAATAAAAAAAAAAAACAAAGACTAAAACAGATCTTCAGTCAGCAGCAATTTCTGCCTGAAACAGGTAAAAAATTGGTTTATTTCAGCAGTGTTGAGTGAAAATGGAACAAAAACAAGTGCAAATCTAACACCAGAAAACCCAAATAATTGGAAATGTGATGGCCGTGAAGCATATGAAGTGTTTCCATGAGCACGGCTGAAATGAACATGTAGAAATACACAAATAAACCCTCACAAATGTCCCACACTGAGGCAAAGAAATCACATTTCAAAACTCTACAAAATACTACAGCAAACATTATATATCATTCTGTGACCGTTTGTCCTCTAAAAAGAGGCTATAAATGTCTTTCCATTTCAGTCACAACGTGTTGAGTGTGGATGTAATGTTTACGATCAGCAGTGCCAACCTTTGACCGACGAACGTCCACTGGGCGGGGAGAAGAAAAGCAGGCTGCCGCTATAAATACTAGCGCTAACGTTACGTGTACACTCGTCAACACATCAAGGCCAAATGCGGGGTGAAGAGACTCACTCACTCATTCAGTACAATGGAAAGAGCAGGCAGGTGAAGGATGTTACACACGGCCTTCCCTCCCTGCTGTTAGAGAACAGGAGCTTTGTTAATGGACGGTTTTGGAGAAATGGAAGAAGCCAAGCTTATGGATTAATGCTGCCTTTATGTGCTAGTTATGGTGAAGACTACTGTGGGCTGCTGTCATGCAAATTTTGTGACGTGGAATTTCCGACTGGGAAAAACCAAGGCAAACACACCCTCGACTGGGAATTAACCTAGTTGGAAAGTCTGAAAGGTGTTCTCCGGGTTCGACCTATGAAGTCATGTCCATATGACTTATACAGTCAACAGTAATAAAGAACCTGAAGATCATTAGCAGGAACAGGTGTGGTTGGAACTAGACTCCGCAGGAAGGCAGATCTTCAGGACCAGAGTTGGTGACCACTCTAAAATAGAATTACAGTAGTATTTGCTCTGGATAAGTCAATGTACAGACACAGTACTTAAATCTATATCACTGACCATAAAGTTTGCTGAGAAGGTAGATAAATCATAATCATTAAAGTTATCACTCATATCGCTAACGCTGGCTGGATACCCTGCTAGAGAAACCAGCTTAGATCGGCATGACTGGTCACCAGCAAAACCAGCATATGTTGTGTTTTGGATGCTGATACGGTGGTCAACCAGTGTGACCATGCTGGGTGTCCAGCTAAACCAGCTCCAGACCAGCCTAAACCAGCTAAACCAGCTCCAGACCAGCATAAACCAGCGTAAACAATAGACAAGTGTGTTTTAACATGATAGTTTGTTGCTACTGGCTAATCTTAAAGGCATTCACGATTTTTTCCCATTTCTGTGGCTCAAAAGTGCAGAGGTTGAAAATCTTCCAAGCTAAAACTAACACAGCATTAAAACGAGCTTGATTTAAAGTCTGAATTCTACAATAACATTGCGTTCCTTTGCAATATTTTAGCATTCACTTCCAAAATTGGGATCGCAAAACAGCATTGCTAGGGAACACAATGCCACTCCCTTTCTGTCTACCATGGCCCTCAGTGAATTTTATTTGAGTTTATGGAATCATAAATACGATTTCAAATCCTAAAGTGTGCGCATGTCATAATAACAAGTTTAAGCTTCAGAAACACGTGTTTCTGACTTACTGCTGATTCATTATGCTAGACAAAGAGTTAGCTTCAGTGGGCGATGGCAGCTAATTCTTTATTTTTCTAAATGCAACTTCCTTTTAGTCATCATCAGTTGCATTATATACGTTTACTTTGAAAGAAACTGTCAAGATACCTTAACAGATTATGCTAGCTAACCAGATAAAATTGTGGTCAAAGTTTTCCCAAACTGGCACAACAGTGTCGTAATATTCTCCATATTTACGACGCAAAAACATCGTAATCACGACTTTGCACGAGAAAAACAGGACCAAGAAAATGAGGGCGGTGTTTGATTAATTGTGCTTTCTACAGTCTTAGGAGATACAGAGGGAAGAGGTTTGGCATCAAGATGTGCTTTGATGGTAAATGTTAGCTATTTAGCAAGCTGGCTAATGCTTGTGGATATTGCAAGTTTTCCCAAACATGCGCGACAACTGTGAAATATTCTCCATGAGCACGTAAAGGCAGCATTTCATCTTTGAGCATTCTGTCATTATGAGTTGGGTGTTTTGTTGAGCCACATTTGGAAGGTAGGGAGCACCGAGAGGCTCTGGGCATTTGTTTAGGTAGACAGTGGGCCCCAAAAGTCTGAGACCACATTGAAACTTTGAGATTCTTTCCCTTTGAATCTGGAAATAAACAACAAAGTTTTAGTATTGAGGAAAACTTTAAACAGAGAAAAGTTATGACAAGACTACTGCACTATTCCTAGGGCTAAATCTCAAATGGCTCCCTACTCCCTATGTAGTACGCTATGTAGGGCATGAACTAATGGCGTTTACACCAAAATACTGCTTTACATGTTGATGAGAAAGTCATTTGTATTCAGTTATTAGCTGCATGACTCTCTATCTAACGTTTAGAGCGCTTTTTGAGTTTAGGATCCATAGTTTCTTGACTTAAGCAGTGCACTTTATAGTGAGTAGGGAGCCATTTGAGATTCAGCCTATGTCACTACTCAAATTTAAGCAAATTTGTGGCAACGTTAAGGCCTTCGCACAAAGAAGACTTGTTTTCACTGAAGCTCGCGTTCAGACGCCTCTCAGGTGGATTTGACCTGCTCAAAGACTTTTGCACAAATTTGTAGAGTGCAGTTGCTAAAGTGAAAAGGGGACACACCACCAAATTTCATCAAGAATTTCATGTTAAAATTTCAAAGATTGTGCTTTTGACTCGAACTGTCATGCTGATATAATTTGTACTGAGAAACACTGTATTGAATTAGAAAGAAATGCAATATAAAAACATTTTCTCTCAGACTTTTGAACCCCACTGTATATCAGACACATACACAAGACGAACACACACACAGTCAAATGCAAAAGTTTGGGCACCCCTGGTCAAATTCCATGTTTTGTTGAACTTCTTGGTGAAAATCAGTTCTACAGAGAACACACTTCTGCACACTTTAATGCACTATTACTGTTTATTTGCTGAAATAAACCATGAAATGTGGCATGTGCAAATGTAATGGCGTCTAATGTTTAATCAATATGTTAATATATTTTAAATTTGTTAAACTTTAAATTTGTTAAATAAATAGAAAGTGTGCACTAAAATTTGCAGAACTTAAGTGTGTTCTCTGTAGAGGAGTTCCATTCCTACCACACAAAACAGCCCACAGGCCCATGCAAATCTGGACAAGGGATGAGCGATGGGGCCAAACCTTCCACGGTGAAGTCCCTTTATGGACGAGGAATTTTTACAGCTGTCCAGAATAATTACCGGAAGTTGTAGAAGCCTTAGAGGAACCCCCCCACCCACATCCCCAGCTCATATGCACATACAGGTATAAAGGTTTTCACACCCATATTTCTCTAATGTAGTAGTATGGACTGTAGGTCAGTGGTCTTTTCAAGTCCACCACAGCTATCCTCCAACACATATCAATGGAATCTGAGTTTCAGTGCCCCCTCAACCTCCGTTCTCAGCATGATTTAGTGCAAAGTTCTTGGTCTTCTCACGTAAGCACATTCATTTCTCTCTGGAAACACATTCCTCCAATGTTACTGGTGCTCTTTTCAGAAGCACAGCACCAAGAGAAATCTTCATTGTACGTCTGGCATGCAACTCTACAGGACATCATAGCGTAATGCAACAATCTTTCACAATAAATTAAAGGAAATATACTACTGTAGTTAAAAGATTACAAATAAAACAAAGCATAATCTGCAATGAAGTATTAGCATATTGTTCTCAGTGATGTTTTATGGAGAAGGTAAAAAGCAACAGTGAGTCAAAAGTCAAAACTCCTTTGCTTTTTTGTTTGGTCTTTGCCACTTTCTCCTCCTCTTCCCCTCCTTTTGTCCTTTTTTTTCTGTCCATTTCAGTCCTGCCGTGCTTTCATCCCCTCCTTTCCCCCAGGGACATTCTATCTGCTCGCTTATAGGAGAGAGAGGAGCATGAGGTGTTGAAGGAGATGAACTTCAGCCACTTTAACTGCACTTACAGCTTCTCACCACCATGTTGGACAGGAGCTCCACCTTCAACACAGAAGATGATTATGTTAAGAATCGTTTAGAGCAACTCATCAAAAACACACCAGACCTTAAAAATGAAAAGGAATAGTTTTATGAAAAATGTAATTTACACAGCCAAGACATGTTTTGTGTGCAAGTTTTGCTTCCATAGTTTAGAACTGGAGCTCTTGTCACCCAAATCACCGATCGCTCATCGCCTGTGGGTGTTTCTGAACTCGAGCGGACCGTTGGTTGTAATTGTGATTATTTTTCTAAAATAACATATTTAAACGCTGCGCTGCTTTGTGTTTTTTTTATTTTGTGGGTGGAGTCAGTGTTATAAAACAAATGCACAGTGTAATATTGCTTTAAATAAAATGCGTTTTATTTACACCAATGTACATGCAAAATAAGTGCATCCTGTTTTGTACTAGATTGCCATGAGCACAAATGAATAGTATTACAGTTATTTTCTACTTTTCTTCTTACTAGTGCTATAATTTATGATATTGATAATAGTTTTAGTTATTTAACTGCAAATCAGGCATTTTTCCAAGTTGTTAAACTACAGGGTGATTCAAAAAGATTCATCCGATTCCAGAGTGCCATATTTTTCCAACCGTGAGGCGCCTAGGAACCAATCACAATCCAATTGAAAGAGGGGGTCATAGAGTTTCTGACTGTCAGTGGAAGATGGCTCCCTTCAGTCTGCGAGGAGATGAGACCCCTGAGCAGAAAGCGTTCTGCGTTCTCCACTTCAATAAGAGTGAATCCGTCATAACTGTGCAGCGTGATTTTCATCAGCATTGAACCTCCAACAGCTCAGAGCGTTCGGCGTTGATGATCTCCGAAATGGCACTGAAAGAGCCGTGAGTGCAGCGACACCCGACATGCTCAATCAAGTATGGGATGAATTTAACTATGGTGTTGATGTTGTCTGTACAGCTGGAGGAGGTTCATACTGAGCACTTGTAAAATTACATAATAAACTTTACGCTCATTTAAACCATTTACAGTTTACTGCATTGTTCTGTAATGATTTACAAGTGAAATAAATCATTTTGAAATCAGATGAATCTTTTTGAATCACCCTGTATCATGCTTAAAGATACATGCACTCCTACCAGACGAGAATTTGATTATACAGATGCAGCAAAGTGTAAATGTATAAATCACAAAACTGACGGTTTAATGTTTGTGTGCGGCCCTTTTATAATCAGATTTGACCGTATGCAACTTGCGAGTCATTGTATCAGCAGTGAGGTGGTAGTGGTAGTACGGTATGTAGGTGTATCTCACTGTAAAGCTCGATATGGATATTTACCTTGTGTTGTCTGCCAACATAATAGACGATTGGAAGGGTGTCCAGGGTTTGAGGTACACAGCAGGGTTGGGCAGATGCACCGGGGTTATGGTGTTTGTACAGGGCTAAAATCTGTGGGACAAACACAGACACAAATCAGACACACTCTATCCGCATTGTTCAGGCCAGACAAGTGTGACCGACAGCAAAATAGGACCATATTAGAAAGTGTGTCCCGTGTGCATGTGAGAGAGAGTGAAAGTGAGTAAGAGGAAGTATAACTATAGTTTCAGCCTTATCTACAGACAACTGGAAATTAGGTATCTATGTAAATACATACAAATATAGTTATAAAGTCATACAGTAGTGTGCAAAAGTTTGAACACTCCTGGTCAAACTAATTGTTGTTGATTCTGGTAGTGAAAAGTGTTAACACAACCTCTACAGAGAACACATTCAAATATGGCATTTTATGCCAATTTAAGAGTAAAATTCAGTATATTTGCTGAGTTTTACTCACTGACTGTATATCTGATATATATGGTATATACACTCATTAACTGTATATATGATATATATGGTATATACACTCATTGACTGTATATATGATATATATGATGTATACACTCATTGACTGTATATATGATATATATGATGTATACACTCATTGACTATATATGATATATGATATATACCCTCATTAACTGTATGTTTGATATATATAGTGTATACACTCATTGACTGTATATATGATATATATGATGTATACACTCATTGGCTGTATATATGATATATATGATGTATACACTCATTGACTGTATATATGATACATATGATATATACACTCATTAACTGTATGTATGATATATATGGTGTATACACTCATTGACTGTATATATGATATATATGATGTATACACTCATTAACTGTACATATGACATGATATATACACTCATTAACTGTATATATGATATATATGGTGTATACACTCATTGACTGTATATATGATATATATGATGTATACACTCATTGGCTGTATTTATGATATATATGATGTATACGCTCATTGACTGTATATATCATATATGATATATACACTCATTTACTGTATACGTGATAAGGTATATATAATATACACTCATTGACTGTATATATGGTATATATAACACACTCGTTGACTGTATATATGATACATATGATGTATACACTCATTGACTGTATATATGACATGATATATACACTCATTTACTGTATACATGATATATATGATGCATACCCTCATTGACTGTATATATGGTATATATAACACACTCGTTGACTTTATATATGATATATATACAATATGTACACTCAGTTGGAACATGCAAACGCTGTTGCTCTCACTGGATGTCGGTAATGAAAACAGATGCTCTCAAACTGCACTCATTCTATGGAAGTCATGTGACTTTCATGTTCAGGTTCTGCTGTTCTGTTATTGAGAACATTGTGATGAAGCTTATTTTGTCCACTCATACAGCTGTAACACAATGCACTGCTTCATAAATGAAAATATTTCTGTAAATTTGAGACAATAAGGTTGAGGTACATATGAGCAACCATTACAAGACCACTCTAAAACATAAATAAGTCATATGGACATTCTGTGCCACCAAAAGGTTTGAGATGCAAATACTTATTATGTTTTTTTGTCACTGTTTGACAATGAAACAGAGCACAGAATTGAATTTAAATCTAACACCTAATTATGTAATGACATTTAAATAATTATAGAATGTAAAGCAGAATTTCAGTGGCAGCTCTGGTCTTGTAAGTGTTAATAGCTCTCAGTCCTCATAGTCGTTATTTCTGTGTCCGGATGTTGTGAATAGAAAGTGTTGGAAAACTCTCAGCAGATTTTCCAGAGATGTGCGCCGAGGGACGGCCCTCAGGTACCTCTCGCCTCTCCGCAACTTAGAACACAATTCCAGCTTTCAGATCACAAAGTTCACTCTGAGCTTTTCCAAAGCTGGGTTTGCACATGCCTGCCCCAAGAATGCCTCTGACGGGAAACGACTTAAGGAAATGACCGAGGCAGGAAGCCGAAAAAAAGCAGAAAATGCCGGAATGTTGTTTTGGGAACTGCTTGTTTGGCTCATCAGGGAATGCTCAGGAAGACTCAGAGGCCTTTAGTCATGTGGACTCTGTGTTCTCCCTACCTGTGAGTATTTGTTCTCAGCGTTCCAGATGTAAGTGCAGGAGCCCATGCAGTAGTTGGCGTAGTATCCTTTGGGCTTGTGGATCCACTTCCAGCCCAGGTCCTTCCGGAAGTCGATGTAAAGATTCCGCATGCAGCAGGTCTCGCTGGTCCTGAGGGAAACATCAAGACAGAGGGAGCCAGTTTCTCTTTTGTTCTTAGAAAATTGCATAGCAAAATTTCTGTAAGTCCATCCCTTTAGGAGATTTCCAACTAGAATTACTCAGATTTGCATGTCACGGAAAAGCAGCACTGATGGAAACCAGTTTTCTATCTGTGTAAAGTCCAGTTTACACTTGGGAGTAACACCTGGCATTTCCAGTGACCACATGTGATCGGATTCCGTGACTGGAGGAAGGGTACCACCCGACTTAACCATGTCAGTGTCTCGCAGCCTTTGTTATCACACAAAAATGTACCGTCATTGTTTGTGTAAGGACTGTTACAAACGTTTAGCTGAAGCAACTTGTAAACAAACAAGAGATGACAGGGAAAAATAAACTACGTGGCTGATTTCGTCTCTCACAGTAAAACAACGTTTGATGTTTCAAATCAAAAAGTTTTCCTTTATACTTTGAGTTTTTTGAACTTCCAATAGTCAGCAGAACTTACAGGGAAACTCCACCGATTGTGTAAAATTTCTACATAATTAAAGGGTTCAGATGTAAACAGAGTCATTCAGAGTGGTTTGGTGTGAAACGCTCTGTTCTGGATAAACTTACTGAGTCAGAATTGTTCACAATGGTGGTGATAGGAACAAGACGTCCATCTCTAAAAGCTCCTTTACAGAAAGTTATTACATGAAATGGTTATGAATTCACTGCCTGATGCCTGAGACATTATTTTACGCTAGTTTAAAGATGTTTTTGTCTAAAATGTTTTTTTCTTGGGGGGAAGGGTACGTGCAGGGCACTGCGAGGCAAAAGTGTCCCCCCATTTCAGATTTCCCACTATTTTCCCATCATCAACATTCCATATAAAGCTCAGAAGGTTCACTGCTGGTTTTGGATAGTAAATAAAAATATTTGTGTTGTAGTCATGGCGACCCCTGGTTCCTATCACCACCACTGTAAAGACATCTGAGTCTCTATAATGAACGCTTTCAAACCAAATTACTCTGAATGACTTTGTTTACATCTCTGTGATCTTTTGAAAATGGTGGAATTCCTTTTAAATCATAGATTCTTGCTCTGTTAACTTACTATTAGAAATTCAATAAAGTGAAACTTTTAAGGTAGCCCGATGACCAATGTTTTAAAATTAAAACAGCACTTTTTTTTCCAGTGCTGCATTGATGTTTTGGTTGATTAGAATATCCTTCTGATCACTTCTGAAGGTCTTTTGAATGATTGGTTCACAGCACATCTCTGAGACGAACTATCCACGTATGATCGGATCACCCAGGGTCAGTTGTAAACAGGGCTTGACATGGTGTAAATGTAATGTGGACAAATCTTATCTGGTCATTTCACATGAAATGACAAGTGAAAACAGTCTGTAAATAGCAGGGCAAGGTTGGATTCCATGTGGGTTTCTTTCAGTGCCTCGCGCTTTACCTCATAAGACTGCTACACTGATTGGCCAACATCAAAAAACTGGTTGACTGCTGGTCACAAAAGTTTGATATTTTAATAAATGTCTATATAAAAATTTTATTTACTTACTTTTAATGTTACAAGTTCGATTTTTTAGCATGTTTGTAGCAAAGGTAGCTTGTGCATATCGCTGTTGTCTGAACAAAACCTCGTATCTCCAAAATGGTAACTTTATAGGAGCAGGAAAAAGCTTACTTTACTTTTAATGTAAGTCAGTGGAACCAGAAGTTTTTCCAAGTCATTTTGGGCCGTTTCCTTTGGTCCATTCATCATGAAATTTGTACACAATACAAAGGACGACAGGCATTTTCAGATTATGTCAAAAACCGAAAAAAGACAACAGCTGTTCTGACGACAGTGATATGTTACCAAGCACTGCTAGAAGAACAGCTAAATGAGCCGGCCAATTTGTGAACGTTGAATCATATGTAGAAGCCACTAATGTAATAATTTTCCAACAATGTAATAACGCTCCAAAATGTAATACAATATTACAATATAATAACCTTTTTTCTGATAATGTAATATCTTATTACATTTTTGAGAAGTTTGTACATTTTCCAGTTGACTATACTTAATACCTCATTACAATGTTGGATTTCATATCATTTTTGATTAAGTGCAAAGTTTTATTACGTTTTTGGGTTCATCACATTATAGGGAAATGATTACATTATTGGGTTCTACAATCATGTTGCTGTTGTCTGAACAAAACCTTGTATCTCCAAAATGGTAACTTTACAGGAGAAGGAAATAACATACTTTACTTTTAATGTAAGTCAATGGAACCAGACTTTTTTCCAAGTAATTTTGGGCCGGTTTTTTTTGGTCCATTCATCATGAAATTTACACACAATGTTAAGGGCAACAGGTATGTCAGCAGAGATATATAAAAAGAGTAGGACAATGTAGGCCTAGTAATGCTGCATTTAAAACTACCATAAAAACTTAATGATGTTTATCAATATTTCACTGTACTGAACTAAAGCCAACTCAGTAGGATGCTCTCAATCAGTGTTCCTATATATATATGACGACATCCACGATATACTCAGAAATACGTATTGTGTAATAAACTTTATCATATTTATGATCAAATATTGTCGTATTGCCCACCTCTGGGACAAAGAAAGAAAGAAGAAAAGAGGAACCCGAGTGATGAGAGTGTTTTAAACTCACTCGGCGCAGGTTTCCTCAGCTCCAGAGGAGCGTTTCCTGCGTGTGGAGATGTGGGTGTTGCCATCAGGAGGGACAGACATGGCCAGAATAAACGGCTTGACCATAAGGTTAGCAAGATCACTCCTGTCTCCTCTTCCTTTATGAATACCTGAGAATACATACAAACACATAGAGTCAGTGTTTATTCTCTGCTTCTGGGGAAACACTCCTTATAACTTTGGCATGAATGGGCGGGGCTAAACTGTTGTAGGTTTAAGGTATGTGAAAGTGTTGGTTTTGTGACATCAGATTTAAAATGGGCTTGGTTTCTGTATATGGACCGTATGGACTGGAGAGTGAATGCTGTGTTTTGGAACTAACAATAATCACCAAATTCTTTTATTTTAAATAAAATGAGGAAAAGTTTAGTCCATTATATGAGCCCTTTAAATTTGAATGCTTTTAAATTTAGTCATCCTGAAGCTTTCACACAACGTAATTAAGAATAGACCACGAGAGGGAGTGTGTTATCGCGAAATAACATCATGGCTGTGATTTGGTCGCCGTAGATCATCACAGCTGTGATGTTATTCGTGATAACACATGACCTCGAGTGTTCTATTGCTTTTATACAACAGTTAAATAAATAAAGTAAGAAATAAATAAACTGGGCGGTTAAAATGTTTTAATGTTCGCAGTTCCTTCCACCAAATTATAGTTCCTTAACAAGCAGCTTGTTGCTACGTCAGAGCAACGAGCTCCGCTCACTCGCTGCACAGGCTGCTGTAAGCCTCGCCTTCTGAAGTACTGACTGCGCCATAAAACTGCCGCAATATCAAGTTCAGCTCAGTTATGTAATTTTTTGCCAGATCAATATTAATGTTGTTTTGTTCCAGCCAGTCTGTAAAGCATCTTACAGCCCATTTTGTTTGGCGAATGGTATTGGGTTCATTTCTGGCTGATTCCAGGTTGTTTAGCTGTTCTTCTGTCACAGCTGCCGACTGAAAAGCTGCTCAGTGGTGACGACAGTTTGGGAATTTAGTGTGGTCTCATCTTCAGAGTCTGACCAAATCGGCTGTCGGTCAAATGTGATCTTAAAAGTGTCTATTTTCTGTTTGTGGCAAAGTAAGAAGTAAAAACGTTCAAATGGCTCGAGCGTCTCCTACAGCTGTCAAAGTCGTTGCTTAGCAACGGCGTCTCAGCGGAGTGATACAGTATTTGTGAAAAAAACGTGATGTTATGGTGAAATAACATTACGGTTAGAACGCTTCTCAACCAATCAGCTTGTGTGGCCGGAACTAACTGTTGCAGGGCAGTAAATGCTATAACACATCAAAAAAACATGGAATTAATAGATTCTGCATCTGTTACGAATCAGGTAATATTCATCAAACCTGATATCTGAAAGCTGGGCTTCTTCTCAGGCTCTCCACAGCCGCAGTAGAGCTTCAGCTCGAATCCCTGCTCCTTCCCCGCTCCTTCCCAACACAAACACAGAGGCACCAAATTAACATAAACCCAAACCACGACCTCACTGCGGTCACTAGAACGGAGCCGATTTGTGGACGTGTTTGTGGATTTCAGTAGATTCATGACATCGTCCAAAAATAACTCCCTGTTAGGCTGTAGAGGCACTCGTACGTTGCTCCAACCAGACCTGAAGTGCGAGATCCACTGAGAATGGTTCACCCACCAAATAACATCTGGTCAACAGTGGTCCTGTGGTCAGAAACTGACCACTGATGACTGGAGTGGAGGAAGCTGATAAACTGCGTGGTAATAGATGGACTGCAGTCTGTAATTGTATATATATGGTACCGGTCAAAAGTTTGGGCACACCTGATTGGATGCTTCTCATAATCTTAAAGACAATTTAAAAAGGCTTATGATCTAAATTTCAAAGTTGTGTCTAAGACAGATATAAATATTAAAACTGATGTATGAATTTGTGTCCAAAATAAAAAAATCACATTTCAAACAATATTTTGTGAGACAAGCAGTTTACCTTTATGACTTTAGTGAAATTTAGAGTGTGGAAGAAGGGTTATTATAACTAATGAAAACTATACCTAAAATGAAAAGTAGCAGTAAAACTTTTACTCATTAAATTTAATAAAAAAACAAATTTAAAATCCTAACGTCCACCACAATATCAATGAAAACGATAATAACAATGACTGGCATAACCATACTACAATAATGCTAAAAAACAAAACTAAAACTACAAATGCAACTTTTATTTATCAAAATAAAAAAAATAAACAAATAAGGAATTGAATAAACATTTCAAAATTATATTTAACCCTAATCAGAACCCCAAACATTTTATCATCCTTCCTGTGTGTTTCTTGATGAAGGTTAATTTGTAGACTGACTGTCTTTGTTGATGCATTTCAGCCAATCATTAGTGCTGTGATGAGGAAGGGCGGACAGCACTAATTTGGTAGAGGATTTCAGACTTTAGTAATTCCATCTGAACTATTTCAAACTGTTCTCACATGAAAAAAGTAAAAGAAAAAAAGAAATAAAACCTGTTTTGTGAGTAGGTGTGTCCAAACCTTTGTCTGGTAATGTAAATAGTGGACCTATAAAGTGGGTGGAGCTTATAAAGTAGCCAGTAAGTGGAAGTACAAAAAAAATTAGAGACCATTAATTTTCTTCATTTCCAGTCAAAACAGCCTTTAAGTTCAAGCTACACACGGTCACATTAAAACCAGCTGTGAAGTGAACTGAAGCACTGACCTCCACACGACCCAGTCACACCACTAACCTTGGGACTGCAGCCATGATTTGAGCGTGGCCGTGACGTCGAAGGAGATCCAGCGGTTGGCCAGATCGTTTGAGATGATGTGGAAGCCCAGGTAGTGTTCCTGTCCCCCCGAGCCCCGGTAGAGCTCCAGCCTCTCCTCTGAGCCGGGTGCGATGGTGGGGTTCTTGATGCGGAGCCTGAGCTCGGCTGTGGACAGCAGCCTGTAGTCCACGATGTCCTTCTTCATCTCCGCCACATCGAAATACAGCCGCATTGAATCGTTATCGTCTAGTCAGAGTGGAAGAGAGAGTCATCATTCATTTTGTGTTTATAATACATATACAGACATAGGTGCTGTCAAGGTGTGAAATACAGGGGGCCCTGGTTTGGGACCCCCTGATTCACCTCTTGGACACCTAAATGTCTCAAAATCAAAATTCTTGGGGGTCCATGAATATAAACTTATTATAAAGTTATGCGCTCCATTAGGAAAAAAATAAAGGCAGATGCAGATTCAGTGAAGCTGATTGTTTATCTGCTTCACCCACAATCAGCTTCTGTCTTTGGTGTTCTTAACTAACTAGAGCTGCAGCACTGCTCTGCCTCAGGGTGGCGCTGTAGCAGACTGGTTCACCCAGTTGGTCCTTCATAGCCTAGAAACTGTAACTCTGCCCAGATTCTTCTGAAAAACTTTAAAATGTGCTGCCGCGGATCTGTAAATCTGAAAACTCGCCCAGTTTCCCAAGAGTTTGGAGTGAAGAGTGACTGTTCCTCATTTCTCTCACTGAAGACAGAAGAGGAGACGAGGAAGATCTCAGTTAATGTGAGGAAGAGTGCAGAACTCCACTAGAACACAGACTTTACAGAAGAACAACTGATAAAACAAACATTTTGCTGCCATTGAAGCATCAGTGCCGCTATAGTGAGTGAATAAGCAGCCAGTAAACGCTGGAGTAGCCAGCCAACATGGGACCCCCCGAATAGCAGCGGGGATTTCACACACTGGGTGCTGCCACAAAATTTCCTATCAGTGTCAAGAAGACCAGGTATATGATGTTATATTTATTTTGTCTGTGTAAAATTGTATTTATAGGCTAATTTATACTGGTGCTAGAATGGGTGCTGCATGATACTATACAGATAAAACTTGAGAATATAAAAATGTTATTTAATATGGTAACATTTTAACCACCAATCAGGATGTGGCTGACACACAATCAACCGTACAGGTTGTCAGCTTTGCTAGCAACGAGGGCATGTTAGCTTGCTAACGTCTGAGCTAAGTGAACACAATCTGGTGAAAAGTCTTGAGTTAACACATACCAATGAAAACATTCTACTGTGTATTAATATTTCCATATATATTATTTCATGATATCTTAGATGTTCCTGTAATATCATTACTTAGCATTTAGAGTTTTACACATTTGGATACTTCAAACATTATCCAGTTTCTAAAGCTTGCACCTGTATACTGAGCAGGCGTGGTGAACAATGACTATTAGAGGCCTTCAGTTCGGGCTAAAAATTAGAAAAACCCACCTCCATGATTGTGCTAATTTATTCTAGTGCCCAAATGAGATTTCTAATAGTATGCTAGCGATCTACATGACAGAGTGACTACATCACAGTGACTCTTTCAGTAAAGAAGCTGCTGTTTCACATTCCTAACAACTACCTGAAACATTGCGTATTCACAGTCAGTGACGTATCTTTTTTTTTCGCCAAATTGCTCCCACTGTAAATCAAAGTTTGATTGGTTGGTTTCTCCATCACTTCCTCATTATGTTGGTAGTTAATCTAATGAGTAGGGCCTTCAGTCCAGCTCTTGAAGCCCTGACCAATAGGAGAGCTTGCTTGGCTGTGTCTACCCAGATACCACAGAGAGAACAATCCTGACTGGAAAGTTTTCGGTTGGTCAAGATTTTAGTTTTCAACCAAAACTTAACAATGAAATAAGATTATAACTACAATACTTTAGAGTTTGAATACAACAAGCATGATGTTACTATTAAAAACGTGAACTAAAAATGGCTAAGAGGCCCCTGAAGGTTCCTCACTGCTGAAAGAAATCATTATATATGTGACGTTCTATTTATTTTACAGTGTGGTTTGGGTTCTAGAGTTGAATTTTGGCGACTATAGCTCAATGTGTATTGCAACTATTGTTAATGCATTTATTTATTTATTTATTCCACGAACATTGATTTCTGTATCATGTTATACTTTGCAATTTCTAAAACATTTCATAGTGTTTGTTTTTGTAACAAATGGTGGCTTTTTGCTTTATTTTCTGAATTGGTTAACACTATCCAACATGAGCAGAGTCAAACTTAGTTTGACAAAAGCAAAACTGAAACTGAAAAGATATCATCTGTACTGATCAGGTGTAAAATAATGGTATCCATGCATCGCTAATGTGAAGGCCATTCAATTCACTGTAATGTAATGCAGACAGCTCGAGTTTCGCACACGGCGGCACCTAAAAGCATCAAGGCCGACGGTCCGTAAGTGCCAAGGACTTGCTTTCATCATGTGCTGCTGCAAATAATTATGAATCCGTGTCTGATTCACTTCCCCACAACCACAAAGAGCTACCAGAGAGGAGAGGGTGATACACATCCTGCTGGGCACGCAGCTGGCCTAATGAAAGGCCTAATGAAAAGCACCTGTAGCTGCGACTCTGACTCTGTACGTGCCACCTGCTCAGAGTAGCATGCAATTTACTGTATTACTGTTATATGCAATACTGCAGCCCTTGCAGTTAATTGTGCATGCTTTTCTACTGAGGCCATATAATTTACTAAGTAAGGCATCTACATCTGAATGGAGCCTTATGAGCTGGAACCGTGAGCTGATTCTTAATAAATGGGGTTTTAATGGATGACAGTGACCACAGCCTGGTTTTGAATTGTAATATTTTTATGGCACTGCCCTTCTTCACTGTTACAGAGTGTTAGAAATTTAGTGCCGTTATCAAATTTCATGCCAGAGCAGTCAGTGTTATCAGCATCACTGCACATACTTTTACCAAAATCTAGGTTGCTGATCAGCTGATAAGCGTGATATAAGTAGATGTTGTTATAAAAAAATAAATTAAACAACAATAAATTAACAAAAATGCAATTTCCTTTTTTAAACAATATTTGAGGTCACTGAGCAGTGTTCATAAGGCTGCATGACACCCATATAGATGATTCTAACGAATTAGTACAAACAATAAAGAATTCAGACTTTGGATATTTACATGGATTATGTTCTGATCTATTTAAACCAAAAGTATTAATAGATAGTAGTCAGCTAATATGTATATAAGATCATCATTCAAATGGGAACTTCCTATTAGGAGGAGTCTGTCCCAAACCCTAACCCCTAAATTTACACTTATGAAAATAATACTTACTTTTTTTGTATTTTATTTTCAATGTTGTTTTTAAAAAGATCTTTTTGTTTTCTTTTCTTTTAAAGTGAAGTTAAACGATTTTGATTCATAAGTTTAATCTTTAAATAAAAAAAAACATAATGTCAGTACCGAAACAAAAAGAGTTCTAGTTTGTGGGCAGAGCCTTATTTTAGCCATGCCCCCTGCATTTTATACCAGGAAGTGAGACTGCATCCCTGTCCCTCATGGCCACATGGTGAGCAGTTAGATCCCATTGTTTTGAAGTAAATGTGTCCCAAAGTCTGAAAATCAGTGTGAAACATTAAGAATTGTCACTACCAAAACACAGATTTTCTGCAGTTAATACATTTCTTGAGGTTTTAATAAAAAATATGATGATTTTATGTGTGTACAGCTGTTCAAAGCTGTGTTTGCTGGTCATGTACTGGCTGCGCTTTTGGGTTTTGCTCAAAATTAGCTAAAATTGTCACTACCGAAACAGTCACTACTGAAACAGTCACTACTGAAACATTTGCTAAAGTTTGGGTAGAGTTATGATTGTTTTTGTAGTGACAAAATGGAATATTTATTCATTAGTTTTAATAAAATAAACATAACTAAGGTATAGGGTCACTCAAAGCAAAAGGATTTTAGTCTAAAATCCAAGATCAATTAAAAGTCCCAAATGTGTTTCAGCTCTGACTTTGAACCAGTTCAGTAGGATGACCTTTCTAAGCTCTGTCATCTGCTTTTTTCCACCTTGATGTCAAGCTGACGTACCACTTATCACCACCGTCAGAAACTATCTATGGCACCTAATATAGGTGTCAACTTGATGTCAAACTCAGCAGAGACGAAGCCGGTTAGAGTAAACCTTTATAAATGTCTGAAGGTTGGTGTCAGGTGTCATGAAGGGCTTATGTAGGTGTCATGTAGCCTTATGAACTTTTATATAGAATCTGCGGTAACACTTTACTGTAAGGGTGCTGTAAGGCAATAACCTTATGAACAACACCCTACAGTAAAGTGTTACCGAATTTGCATTTAAAAGCACTTATCAAAAAGGCATCATTCAGGAATCGGTATGAAAATCCAAGCAACATTATCTGTACTTTTTTTAAACAATATTTAGCTCTAGAAATGACACGAGACACGCCTAAAAAAGAGCACAACACAGAACAGTACAGAGAAAAAAAGCAGAGGCGCTCAGTGTTTTGAGGGCATCTGCCGTTGCATAATAGTGACATGAGTTATGAGAAGAGAGGGGGAGAACGCAGGAGGCAGTGAGGGAAAGAAAGAAAAAGAAGCGCACCGCAGAATAAAGCACCGTTTATGACATGTTTATAAGTCTGAAAAAAGTATAATCGTGAGAAAATGTAAACACTGAAAGCAGCGCTGGATTGAATTTGCTTGATTCAAATGTACGCACCATTTCTACATGAGCAGAATGTATTACATCAACGCAGATATTGCCAAAAGTACATAAACTCAAAGACAGAATTGTGTTGATGTAAAATGGCTTGAAAGGAGAACTCAAGCTTGGAAAGCAGAAGAAGGTTCTGCTACGAAAAAGGCAGAAGCGCACAGAGGAGTGAAGTGAAGATCTGCCTTTGCCAAACCCCAAACACACTTCTGTCCCGGCCTGTCTTCCTCTGAAATTACCAGCCCGAATGCTTAATTACACACGTACACTTGGCAGATCGCCAGCACAGACCCGAACATTTCTGTTCCAAACAGTCTTCGACGTACAACTTATCTGTAGAAGCCAATGCTGAAAAAAATACACCATCATTCGTCATTTGAGGTCATTTACGGTCTGAGATCTACAGTTGAGCAACTCTGATGGTGCAATTTTGGGCCTTTTCACAAACATTAACACAAGGCGTCACCTGTTGACTTTAATTTG